GGCCGGGGCCCGCCGGCGGCGCGGCCGGGCCGTGTCGTGTCAGAAGCGGTTCCAGCCGCACTCACTGATGCACGCCTCCAACGTTTCGGGCTCCATGGCGGAGGGTCCCGCCCGCCCACCGGTTTACCTCAGCGGGGTAACAGGGCTCCGCCGCCCACCCGCCCGGCCCGGTACCGCCGAGCCATGGAGAAAGGACCGAACCGTCTAGAGCGCCTCTCCGACGGTCTTACCATAAAGCACCGGAAGTTGGGAGGCGCAGAGCGCCGCCCCGCTCCCAGCGCGCCCCCTGCCGAAGCGCACCTCCAAGGCACCATAGAGTTCAGCGCGCAGAATTGGGAGGGGGAAGCAAGGCGCAGGACGGGGAAGGAAGCGGAAGGGCTCCAGGAGAAGGACGGAGAAAGCAAGTGAGGGCAAGCGCAGGCCGGGAGCGCCGGAAACCGACCGCCGGACGGAAACTAGCCGACCTCCCTTCCCGGAAGAACCCTCGTACTGGCAGGTGAGGCCACTTCCGGTAGAGAGAGCGGGCACTTCCGCCTGGCGGGGGAGCCGCGTGTCCTTTGAAAGGACACGAGCCTGCCGGCGCATGCGCGCTGCGCGCCCGCCCGGCCCGGAGGGGGGTGGCGGGGACCCGGTCCCTCTCCTTAAGGCCTTGGCGGCTGTGGGCGGCCTCTCGGAGGGGCTGGGGGCTTTAGGAGGCATTATAAATGCTAGTAGGCGAGTCGCTGTGCCCTGGTGGGAGTTATCTTTAAGTAGCTGCCGGTCCTCCCCCGGCAGGCCTTCTCCCGCCTGGCTGAGCAGCTGGGGGGAGGTTGGCGAAGGCCTGGAAATAACTAAGGGCTTTAGAAACATAAACTCAATTTGTCCTCTTTCTCCTTGTAGCTCTGGTAATCCAGGCCAGCCCTAACTGTATGGCTTAATACCGCTCATTTTCTCTGCGCCCCAGTGGTCTTGGAGGGAACTGTGTTCCTGTGGTGATTTGTTGTTTTTAAATAATGCTGGTGAAAGGTGCCAACTCGATGACCTTTGGGGAGCACAGGCCTCTACCTCTTTGAAGAGTCCGCGGTGTACCGCATCAGCGCTGCTGCTTAAAGTCACCCGCTGGGGCTGGCCCTGCCGGAGCCTTGGCCATAGGAGTGCAAGTACGATACTGCCTGTTCAGCCTTAAAGCCTCTGATCCTGGAGATAGACATCTGAGTCAGAGTGGTCCTGTGTTGGGTTACTCATTTACAGTGCTAATCCCGCAGATGGCAGGCGAGGGAACTGCCCTGATGTCACGCCTAATGTCTTTTCCTTATGGCTAGCCATTGTTTTGGAGGGGGAATTTTTGGCCATTAAAAAGTACTTTTCAGTGCTTGAATGTAGTTCTTTTTTTAACTGTCACTGCCTTGCATCACAAAGCCTTTTTTTTTAAGTGCCTTTCATAGAAAATTGCCACATCCTTCCCTCTGCTGTGTTTAGGCACGTTTTACACGAGTTATTTTAATCTTATGAGTCAGCCTTGCCTGTCACTACTACCTCTTTGATTTTTCTGAGAATCCTTAAGTCATCTTTAGGAGACTGAGGCCTAGATACTGCTCTTCTAGGTCATGTACAATCTGCGTAGAAGGCATACTTCTCTCCAACCCACAAAGCCGTGCCTCAGAAGGAGTGGTTTTGCAGTCTGGTGTTTCACAGCCCCCTTTTGTTCAGGTTTCGATCCCTTGGAGTCTCAAGGTTGTTTATTTTTCTCTTTCTGGCAACACCCAGTGGTTAGCAAGTCTAGGATGAATGGAAGGCTGCGCCTCTTTTCAGCTGGTTGCAAACAATGGTGAGTGAACTCATGCATAACAGTTGTGTCAGCAGCGGCCTTTCAGACTTTGCTTTTATTTCTCATCGATTTAGGAGTCTCTTTTCCCTTTGGTTACTCCTGCTTTCCATCTAAGAAGACCCTAAGTGCAACAAAAAAAGAGATCTGAGTCTGAATTTTGCTCCCTATAACAGTGGCTAGATGATGCGTGAGGAAAAACCTTTCTCCTGTCCCTCAATTTATTTTTACCAACAGCTGGAGTCCCAAACTAGGTTTGGATGGAGTGAGACGCTCCATGTTGTAATTAACACCGCTCCAGAATGAAAGTACTGGAACTATAATTAGCTCCTAGCCAGTTGCGGAGGAAAGTGATTACGTGCAAGCTGGAGGCCCGGGTAGTTGGCATGAAAGCTTGTGCTGGCGGAGGGGTGCAGGATCCCAGGTTTGGCAGGCCTTGCAGCAGGCTGTCCCGCAGAGGGCAGCAGCAGGCAGGGGAGAGCTCCTGCCTGATCAACCTGGGCTTAGCAAATGCTCTTGCTGCCTGTACAGTCGAGGTGAATCGCAAAACAGGCAAAGTCTCCCTCAGTCGGGAAGGGAAGGCGGCCTCGCAGGAGTGGCCGGGTCGCCCGGGAGAGGGGTTTTCCACCCACCAGGTCATCTTCAGCCCGCCAGAACCGCCCTGTCACGCTCGCTCTGTCCCAGCTTTTGTTTGGTTTCTCTGCCTTGTGTGTTTACATGAACCCTGCGGTGTTTTTCAGATGCGCTCGTGTGCGGCAGCGAGAGCTTTCCTGCGCTTCCTGCTGGGTCGTCGGCTCTGGCCTGTGATGCGAGGTTCCCCTTCCCCGTCACATTCCTCTTTCCTTGGCAAGGCATTCTGCCAAGGCATACCTTTCACTTTCCTAAAGCTCGGTACTGCAGTCTTTTGTTCCCTTTTCTTGTTTTCCCGCTCCGGCTGACTGCAGCAGCCGGTGCCTGGGATTTTGGCTCAGTTTTACCTCTGCTATTTTCTCTTGGAACAGGACTGGCAGCACCTCTCCTGACATCACCTCGGACCATGCACCTCTTACGCAATCCTTTGGATTTGCAGCCCTGCTATTCCCTGACCTTGGCTAATCTTTCTTTTGCAATACTTGTAAGCACCTTTCCCAGCAGAGGGTTGCAATTAGAGAGGCAAGTATAGAATTGCATACTTCTCTAGAGGGAGAGCAGGTTTGAGCTCCTTTAATCTAATAGGAAATGTCTCCTTCCCTTTCATATGCAGTACTTTCTTGTGGTATGCAGTCATCCACCAGGATTGCTCCCTTCCATTTCTTTCAGCATTTCCCTTTTCGCTGTAGGAAGACCTGTCCCCGGTGATCAAAGACATCCTTCTACAACTACGGGAGCAGAATGAGGGAACAGGATGCTGGATAAGGGATCAGAAAACCTGCTGGCTACATCTCTGCAATTAAGCATGTCTCGGAGCAAGACTCAAGGAAATACACAGCTATGCTCACTGCCTCAGTTTCCCTGGTTGTTAGCATGGGGGTAATTGCACTTGCTTCCTTTGGGGAATTGCCTTGACCTCTGTATACTAAATTTCCTTTGCACATTGGTTCTGTCATTAGAGCAACTGGCTCAGCAAGACAAGCAAATACCAGAGTTCGGGGTGAGCTGTGCAGCTTGCTGCTCCTTGTGTTCGAGCCCTCCTTCCAGACTGGGCAACTCAAGGGGTGTCTTGATCCCTCGACCGAGTGGCCGGCAGTGCCCTCCTGACCAGTGTAGGGAGTGGCAGTGCCTCTTTACCCCCTGGGGAAGGCTCACCTGGATTTGCCGTTGCCGATAGCTTCTTCCCAAGAGAGTCCGGGGCAGTCAGGGGATGCTCCGAGAACACGGGAATGCTCTTGCTGCTGAGGAACAGTATCGGCAACAGGCAAAGATGAAAGAAAACCAGCAGGACAGAAGCCCTAGTCATAGCCGTGGCTTAGGGGGCTGGTGGGTTATATATCTGGGTAAGCCAAATACAGAACAGGGAGAGAAAGACCTGCCAGGTTAGAGAGAGCGGCTTAAATTTATGGGCCTGAAGTGAGCATCGAAGGCCCTGAGCCTGCAAGAGGGAGCCTTGATGAAGTCATTCACTGCACCACTGATGAGATCAGCTCCAGACTGGAGCAGATCCGCTACTGATACAGTGTGCTTGGGATTCAGGTGTCATGAGAGGCACTTGAAAAGGTGAACATTCACCCATGCTTGCTCTAGCCCTGACTTGCTGTGTTATCACTAGCAGATGGAAGGGATGTCATTAGAAAGCACAAGTATTGGGGAAAAAATGGTTTAAAAGCCTGGATTTTGCTGAGATACAGTTTGGCTCTAAAGAACAGCAGGAGGGAGAAGGAGAAAAATCCTATTGCAAATGCATTTTTCATGGGCACCCAAGCATGATCTGAGCAGAGATCGGTGACACAAAACTAGGCATCCTGGAGCAAATCAGGGAGCCCAGCTGCGGCAAATCCCCAAGCCTGGATGATGAATACATCCCTGCATTGCGGCGACAGCGAAGTGTGACTTAGTGAAGCGTTTGCCGGGGATGTTTAGCGTAGCAGCAGCCCGGGGAGCTCAGAGATGCAGCCATGTGCAGCCTCTCTTTTACAACGCGGCACAGGGAGGAGGCATTCTCGCTGCGGGGTGCCCCGGTGCCGAATGCACGTGCTCTCGGCTGTGCAGCTGGCTCAGGTTTGGCAGCTGGTGAGCTTGAATAGATGGGTTTTGGCCCAGGCTTGAAAATCCTCCCATTGCCAATGATCCTGCTTTGGCTGCAGCTGCCTCAGGTTCCCTAGGAAACTTCAGCTCTGGCTTAAGTCCGGACTGTGAAACGACAGGAGGAGGCAGTCCGGCAGCTCTCTGCCTCCAGCCTGGCTGCTTGGCCTCTGCCGCTTGGCACCGCAGCCAGCTTCAGCCCTGCTTTTGGCTGCGGCGAGGAGCAGCAGGGCGGAGTGAACCCAGTGCCGGGGCACGGTGGACGTGGGGTTAGGAATAAAAAGAAAACTGTGACCCAGGAGGAGGACGGAGACGCAGAGTCTGCGTACGCAGATTTCCCGAGCGTGGACCTGGCCTTTCGTAGGCTCCTTTCTGGTTCCTCTGGCTTCGTCTGTCTTAGTAAACGCAACAGGAGCAGGGCCAGGCCCGGGCGCTGCCTCGGGATGATGGCTGGTGCCATGCAGTTGTTAGCAGCCTCCCTGGCGTGGTTTTGGGCTGTGCCAGTTAGCAGTGCCTCAGTGCCCAGGCACGGCTGGGGACTGTTCCCAACAGAGCCTTGGTGTCGCCGAACATTTAACCCCATGGATGGGAGCTGTGACCTGCTCCTTGCATTTAGGGCCAAGAGCGAAACAGCTACACCCTGCAAGCCCAGGTCCCTCTGAAGGCAGGCTTTTGAAGTGCAATCCCCTGCAGCCTGCATATTTACCCCCTAATCTTCCACTTTTCCCCTCTCCGAAGATGGGAAATGTCACGCAACAGGTTGTAGGTGAGTGTGTGGGATGGGAGTGCGTGCACCAGACTGAAACTGGGAAACGCTCTGTCTGCTGGGCACGGCTGAACCCAGGGTTGTGACTCAGTGTCCTACACCCCGTGTTGTGGATCACTCGCCACATTTGACCTCCTGCCTTGTGGGGTGGGAGAGATGCTATGAGGAAACGTTGCCTGAGTGCATGAGGTCATGGGGGTGTGGGGACCAGCTGCTGGATGCAGGGGACCATTCCGGCCTGGGTGCACAGACATGTTGAATTTGCCCTGGGCAGGCAGAACAAGGAGCCCATCATGTTGCTCATGGAGCACATGATTCTGCAAGGGCTTCCCATGCATGCACAACTCTGTCCTGTTTCCCCCGCCACCCCAAACTACATCAGGTTTGGGAACTCACTCAGAGAGCAGAACGGGGGCAGAGCTTGTGTATCTTCCATTTAATGTGCTGACAGACAAGTCCCCCAGCCAGGAGAAGGATCAGGCGCACACCTCCGGATGCATCCGAACAGCCTCTGCCTTGTCTCTGCCTGGAGGGGCTGTGTTCAAGTGGCACGCTGCTGGTCCCCTCAGCCCAGCGGGCATCTTGAAGGCAGCGTC